TATTGAACATGATTGAACTGAACCTGAACCTGAACTTGACCAAAGTTCGGTTTCAGTTCGGTTCATAGGAACACTACGTAAAACATACATTGTTGTTTACATGCTTCTTGTTAGCATTAAGTTATCTTAATGCATATTTATTAAATTTCATTTTTGTTTTTTTGACTTTATTATCTAAAGTCGTGAATATATTTTCATAATTGTTTATTATACAATACATGAATACATCTTCACATTCTCATACATAATACCTTATTCAAATTTTTGATACTTCATTTTGTCTTAAATCAATCCTATTTTAGATTGTCAACAATAGGACAATCAGGATTGATTAGGATATCTGCATATCCCAATCCCACTATGTATATCTCTTAAAATTTATTCTACAGATCCCAATTCATCTTGAAATAGAAACCCACTCTTTTCAATATCAGCAATGATATTTACTAACCCAGTACCCCTAAATTGGTTTTTTTCACACATTAATTAAACTCTTTTTGCCACTTTGGATCATTTTTAGTTTACTATTCTGAATTAAACTGCATCAAATAACTGATGCTATTTCAACCTGATAGTAATATTTGGTACCAATTGTGTAGAACATATGCCTGTTAGTTTTTAGAACCATATGAATAATTTTGATTAATCTAAAAAATAGTACAGAACATGACCATCATTATTATCTCTTTGGAAAAACACCTCAGGCAATCAAATATCTGTCAAAATATTACCAGGATAACTCTTGCATTCTTGTTACCCACCACAAGAACCTTCACCTCGCTTCATCACTTTCTGAACATAGTTTAGCACCTTCCAAATAGCTAATCTGTACTCTCAACACATCTTAAGATGTTTTGAGAAATTTAGTAACTTTGATATCCACTAGATTTTGAATCAACCATTAAGTCAATTTATTTTTAGTTTTCAATATAGAGAGCACCCCCGATAGCTTTCCAACATTAGTAAACAAGTTCTTAACAGCATATCAAGAAACCAACCAGTTTGCCATAGATTCTTTAGCAGATGCCTATAACAGTGAAACTTTGAAAGAGAATCTTCAGGATAATAATATGACGCAAGATAACCACTGAGACCAAGATCCCTTCATCATTGACCTCATAAAGATGAACAGCTTAATTCGCCAAACCAACCCATTCCACAACTACTTCGATAATTAAAATAACCCTCAAAATGAATCTGTAAACCTTTTTGCTCAACAATTTGGAGCACTTGTCATTCAGATGCAACATGCCCTGGCCTCACAAATTAACATTCCTGCCATCAATGTAGCTGCCCAAAATTGTGAATTAAATCTGGTATTGTACCCAGATTTTTCTGGGGGTGAACAGGATCTCATAAGTTGTCTAGAAAACATAGAAAAAGCCTTTGAAGCCAACCAAGTACTATTTAAAAGGCACAGCTGACACATAGTGGGTCAATGCTCGAAATCTCCATCCCATCAACCTATAGAAATAACGTGATCACCAAAATCAGAGTTTTCATCTCCAATTCATTGCACAGTTTCAAACTCCAGCTCTTGAGAGCAAGTGGTTTGCTCAGCTGACTCAATGAAAACAAGGTCCAGTCGAGGATGTCGATTCATATCATGTATCAATCAAAGAGTTGCTGCAAAGAGTCAAATTGGGTGGTCATCGTTATCCTGATACAGCTAAGGCCCAGATGTTCATTAATGCCCTATGGCCTGAACTTGCAACCTATGTTGCCCCCTTTATGCATAACACATTAGCTGCCGCCTACGAAAGGGCCTAAGCTTTTGAAAATTCTTTCAAACAAAACCCCTTCAGTTATAACCCCTACTTACCCTACATACATCCAGCCCACATTGGGGTTGTACCTAATCAAACACCGACTAATTTGCCCTCTCACAGTCACACAACGATGGTTGCAGCCTTGTCTACAGTCTCCAAGCCGGAAGATCCACTTATCAAGTTTACTAAAGCCCTTACAACTATGATGACAAGGCTACAGGAGAACCGTGAGCCCCCACACCGTGGCCCTAACAATTGGAACAACACCAACAGATTCAATTGTAATAGTTGTGGACAAGCAGGACATTATGCAAGAAATTAAAATATTACGCATATTAAAATTGAGTTGATCTTTCGAAGAGATCTGATTGGTACATATCCATCGATATTTCAAGCTAATGAACTTTGAGCGAAATAACTTAGTAATTACCTATATTATTCATAGAATAAAATATAAAAAAAAACAACTTCCTTCGATTTTAGGTGGACAGTTATCGAGATATTATCAATCAAAGTTGGAAAAATTAGCTGCGGTCTTTGTTTTAATAATCGACCAATTTTTTATTGAACATTGAGCGATAAAATCTCGATAACTACCAACCTAAAATCGATAATTATTTTTTTATACTGTATTAATTCTATGAATCCATAGATAAAAGTAAAAACAATTTTTGTCGATTCTAAATATGCAGTGTACTATTATTACTAGTGTTGGACAAACTAGAGTTTTTTTCAAATTTCATGCATATGAAACTCTGGCCAGCGGACCAGAATTATGAGGTTTCGGAAATTCTGAAAACTCTGAAATGCATGATGCCCAACACTAATTCTTACTGTGGTTCAGGGTCCTGCGGAATCTGTGATATAATTTAACAAATTATGTTTTCGATATCAGCAAATTATTTGATTTACTGCGATTAACAATAAAAGTCCGAATTATTATTTGATTTACTGCGATTAACAATAAAAGTCCGAATTAGTATAAAATTTAAAAACTACAATTTTTTCGAAAAAATGTTGCACTAAAAAAAAATTTTGGTTTTTATGCACAAATATATAGCCCATGATATTTCTATTTCTTTGAACTATTGAAATATAAAATATTTTATTATATTTGCTAAAAATTTCATCATGTATACTTGAAAAGTGCATTTTCTATAATCGAAGCAAATCGAAGTAAATCGCAGTAAATCGCAGTAAACCACATGCTTTTTGTGATTTGCTTCGATCACAAAATTCGCAGGTCCCTGCTGTGGTTGCCATCTGAGCTTATATGCATATCTCGTTTCTATTTGATTAGCAAATTTTGACGATCATTGTTGCAAGGATTTTTAAATGTCAAGAGTAAAAAGGGCGATAAATTCATTTTTTAAAAAACTTAATAAATTAACCCTAAACTTTCGGGTTCGGGTCGGGTTGAAGATCTAACCCGAAGTTTGCCAACCCGTTCGGAGCACTAATTACAATTGAACTTTAACGTTAATGTTTTTTTGCAATTTAAGCTAAACTGAACTGAACATTCAAAACCAGATGTGATAAATTTCATGATTTTATTAATAAAAGGTTTAAAGAATTACAGTATTATACTGTATAATTAAGCATTTATAAATCGACTATAAATTTATAATTTAGGTATATAAGACGAAGATTTAAAATTTTGGTTTTGGAACTTTTCACCCAAATATAAATTTGGATATTTGTATAACAATGTTGATTAAATTTTCTGTAGTGTAACTGTTATATATATATATATAGTTAGGATTTGATTTGTATGTTACGAAATCCTTAACCCAAAACATGGCAACAAGGCATTTAGAAAAACTTTCGACAGATTACCTTGAACTTCTTAATGATAAAGAAGATTTTAATGTAATCATTAATACTGGAGAATCACCAAATACGAAAGTATTTCGAGCACATTCAAATGTTTTAAGATATAGGTCTTTGTATTTTCGAGATAAATTAGAAAACACCGGTAAAGATGCAAATAACATCAAAACTATTAATTTGAAAGATGTTTCTATACAACAACTTGAATTTATTATTAAGTAAGTTATTGCATGTTTAATAATATTTATAGTATTTAAGGAACTAATTCTAATACAAATTTAATAAAGATATATTTACGGAGGAGTGATTTTACTGGAAAATCAAGACACATCGTTCATTTTTGAACTCATGTTTATTGCTTCAGATTTTCTTCTAGAGGATTTAGCTAAGCACATTGAAATTCATTTAATTGAAACAAAAGCTCACTGGCTTAGATTACATTTTACACGGATTTATCAAAAAAGCTTTCAAAATAATCAATTTCTAAATTTACAAAAATGGAGTAATGATTTTTTAGTAAAGCATCCAAACAAGATTTTTGATTCTGAAGACTTTACATCATTGCAAGAAAATGCATTATTATCACTTATTAAACGAGATGATTTACAAATGGAAGAAATAAAAATTTGGAAATATATAATTAAATGGGGAATTGCTCAAAATCCAGACTTATCGTCAAATGACCCAGAAAATTGGACTAATGAAAACTTTCACACTTTAAAAAATACATTACAAAATTGTTTACCTCATATCCGTTATTTTCAAATATCAGGTGACGATATTGTCGATAATGTTCAACAATATCATCAAATATTAGATAAAACCCTTTGGAATGATATAATGAAAAGAGCTGTAAATCCAAATCGACAAATATCGTCAACAATTCTTCCACCTCGTATAATTTTGACACCAACATTACCAACACGTACCACAGATCCATTTTCAACAGTTATTAATGAAGCACATGCAGCTGAAATTGCATCATGGATTGATAAGATAACTGAAATGTATTCAGTATTAAATAACCCATATAAATTTAAATTACTTCTTCGTGGTACTAGAGATGGTTTTACTCCTGAATCATTTTGGAATTTATGTGATAAGCAAGCTAATACTATTGTCGTCATGAAGGTTAAATATACCAATGAAATTCTTGGTGGTTATAATCCAATTCAATGGGATAAATCAATTAATAGATATGTGTATTGCAATGATAGCTTTATTTTTTCATTGAAAAATGGTACTACTCAATCCTCTATTTTGAGTCGCGTACGAAATCCAAATTCTGCAATTTATTGTGGTCTTACTCATGGTCCATCTTTCGAAACTGATCTTTATATGTACATGGATTTTAACCAAGATAATAGATGTAGTTGTAGTTATTCAGCATATGAAAAGGCAATTAGGAATATTAAAGACAAATTTTCAGTATCAGAATACGAAGTGTTCAAAATTGAAAGAAAATAGAATATCAAATAGATTATTCAAAATACATGACCAAAAATATGATTTCTTTATTTAAATCATATTTTTAAACGTTTGTCTGATAATGATTTATAAGGGAGATTTTATACTACTATTCTCAACATTAAGCTTATTTGCACAAAAGATATTTACTGCTGTATTTAAAAAATTATGCACTCTTTTTCATTTAACCTGTTATTTTTAATTATTTATTCATTTTTAAATATATTAACCTATAGTCATTGTCAGTTTTCGGCTCACATTGTTGAATCAAAATTAGTAACTAAGCAATTTGTTATCATTTAAGCTTTGTAGTATCTAAATAAATGTTCCATGATCAAAAAAACAGTGATTCATTATTTTCTTTCATAAATGCTAGTAGTATTATATCATGTTATGGTAGATTGCCTATACTGTATTGTACATGTATAAAGTATAAAATTATCTTTAACTTTCATCACTAAATATTTATGTTCTGTACCAATCACAAAATTTGTCATTTCTTGATTGACACTTGAGAAAAATAATTTAGGTGATTTTTAATGTGTAATGATTCAGAAATTAATAAATTCAGGAATGTTAATATGACTTCGTATTAATATAAATAAGAAAAAAAAGCAATAATATCTAACTTTCGATTTTTTTTTCATCAATAATAACTATGGAAGCATATTCAATTTTATATCATGAGTCTTAACGATCTAATATTGAAAACACGCACATAGCACTTTAACATGTCAATCATTATAGAATTTACCATATAAGCACGTAATAACGCACATGGGTATTATTTCGAAATTTAGATTTTTTTAAAAATGCCGTATTTGACTCAAAATAGCGCCCATGCGCGTCTCAAAATAACGCGCCCCTCTATATATACATATTATCATTCAAGAAAGTAGTTGAAATTTTTTTTCAAAATTAGCATAATGATTCGAATTATCGCGCATGCGCATCCTGAAATAACGTACAGGGCTCGAAATAACGCGCCCCTGCGCGTTATTACACGCTAATATGGTAGAAAAATT